AGATAAATAATGTTAAATTAATATTTTTAAATATGAATGTTTCTGTTAACTTATTTTATATATTAAGATGCCCTAAGACGACTTCTGTTGTGACTTGACGTTATAGAAATAAACTGAATTGAATTGAATCTTTCTAGATTAATCGATTTTGTTAATAGTGATAAAATAAAAAATATACTCAATAAATCAAGGAAGATTTTACGGCAGATAACTTGTGTTAAATCCACTAGTCACTCTTCTATTATTCAATTTTACAATGGTTTTTTTTTTTTTACACTAATGAAAAAGCTGTTGAGCAGTTGAATGTGACTGACAAAATTAGGCATTGCCGTTTAACATCATCCTGAAGTGATGAGAGTACCTGAGGAGCTCAGATTGCAGCCGTGTTGTCTGTTCAAAAGTAACATTTGCAGAAACTGATGCAATATCTTCCTCAAACCTCCATACGCCATGCTCAGACTCACTGCTGTTAGACTGGACCTAAACAAAGACAACACAAGTGACATTACTGCAAAACCTCAAATTTGATTTACTTTTTAGTTGTTGCATCTGCATTTATTACACATAAACTAGTTTTTAACAAGCTGAGTGATATTGCAGAGCAAACTGTTTAACAACTTCCTGCACCGATGCCATGTTGAACTTTACAGTGCTGTAATTAACATGCACAAGTGGGGTCAACTGAATCAACCACTGTGGGGTAAAAAGAATGATTAAACACACCTCACAGTGTGATAGGGCAGACAGAGTTGGAGGAGGAGGTGAGGAAGAGGCAGCAGATGAAGCTGCTGAGCCCTCAGCTGGGCCTGGGAGGAGAAGTGCCTGATGCCTGAGGAGGTGGAGCAACAGGGCGTTGGACACACTCTGCTCCTCCAGCATCCTGGGCCCTGCTGGAACACTGCATGCAGAAAAGAGATAACCCAGTTAGGTTTTATAACAGTGACAAAGGTTTCCATCTAGTGGACGGAGGCATTTTGACGGCGCAATGACAATATGAAACTGAAGGATTTCCTTTGCATGAATAAGCAGCCAGGCTGGATTAACCACATGCGCAACTGTAATTTAACACCGACACAAAATATATTTCAGTAACACCCACAACAGAAGGAAATTAGTGCACTAATTTAAGTGAAAACTTTAATTTGTTTTCTAATTGTTGCTTTATTGTCGTCGTGATCCCTTTGAATTTACCTGACAGGGTTATTCAACTGGTGGTGACTTCAATACAGCCCATTTCATTTTTAAAAATGGGCCGTATTAGTTCTGTTTATTGCATTTATGATTCAATGCAATAAAATAAACACATTTAAAAGGTACTGTAACAGACCATTGTAAAACTTGGTTTATTTGCATAATGACATTAATCGCTGGATGTCCAGCCCCCGAGCTGTTGGCTTTCAGAAACTGTGGCCCCCTGAGCTGTTTTGTTCAATAGCCCTAACCTAAGATGTGATATAATCTGTACACAGTCAGCAAAAGGTAAAAACTTTAAACACCCAGGCAACTGAATGTGAAAATCCTGAAAGCTAATAGCTGTGTTTGTGTGTCAAACAGGTCAATACCAGTTTATTGCATGTGTTACATAACAGAAAGAAATGAGGGGGAGTGGCAGCCTGTTGACAGTTAGGCTATGCAGGAGCTATAGGGGCAGACAGTGTAAGGAGCTCAATGTAACAAAAATAGTTGGTTTTTTTGCAATATAGGAGCTTTGTTTGATTGGATAGTTTTGTAGGATTTGACTTTTTCATTGTCTTGTTTTATTCATATAATCATACGTACGTACAGTATATTTCTGTGGATGTTTTAAATTAGATGAAAACATAAGCAAAATGTACAGAAAACTTTTCAAATTTCCCAACCACCTATCTTTTTTCCCCAGACATCTTCTTTTTTTTAAGTTCCACAGATGCTAACCGATCGTTCATCTTGTGGCTCAGTTGACATTTTCTTCTTAAACAGTCCTTTAAAACAGAGTAAAACAGATAAGACTGAGATACCTAGCTGACTGAGAGCAGTAGAGTCCTTTATACAGTCAAAGAAACCTAAAAAGGCATCAGTGAAATTCTGTGCAAGCCTCTCGAGAGACTGTTTGTTTACAGTGCCAGTTCAGTAATTCTGTAAACAGGAAGGGAGAAGAAACGAGCAAAGTCCTAATGACGTCTGTTATATCTGTAAGTCATTTCTGTACCATACTGTACGTAATAAGCCACAACCCGCACCCACTTCCTCCGAGGGGCGAGGTCAAGTACACTCAGCCGTTAAAACTTTTGAACTAAGCCAGACACTTGCTAAGTTGCTTTCATGTAAACATGTAAAACCTGGCATTACAAACAGTAACTTACTGAAATATGCACGGCCCAAATATGGTAGCTAGATTTTCCACAGGCATATGATTTGAGTGGCTGTGCGCAGCTACTCTGCACAGGAAGTGGATGAGGTAAGACAAAATATTGAGGTTGGAAAAGGGGAGGTGGTAAAGGTTTTCTCTCAGTCTCTGGTTCAGCTCTGGTTCATCTGCATAGCCTAAAAATAGGACATAAAAACACATAAAAACATGATTACCATACACCTCAATCACCAGACCTATTGTTTTTTTGTATTTAATGGTAGTTTTTACTCATTAATTCTATTGCAAGTTATTTTTTTACACATGTACACATATAAAAACATGGTAAATTACAATGTTTAGAAATAACTGATTGGTTAACTAAAACATGACTTATTAATTATTCAATTAAAGGAGTCGTCGACATAATAA